ACTAAACTCATAAAGTACATCATTCTGATTGAAGCTAAGGGCATACAAAACTGTCTAACAGTTCGACTTGATTATGGAGCAGCCCATTGGGTTTAAAGACCCTAAGAACCTAGATAATGTATGCCACTTAAGAAAGTCCTTATATGGACTTAAACAGGCTCCACGGGCCTGGTATCAATGTCTCTCCAAATTCTTACTGAAATTGGGCTTCACTATGTCAAAGGTTGACTCCTCACTATTTCTTCTCAAGACATCCAAGCTTCACCTCTTCATGTTAATATATGTTGATGACATAATCATAACGGGTTCAAATCCTTCAACCATCGACTCTCTCRTATCTTCTTTGGCTACTGAATTTGCTGTTAAGGACCTAGGCCCACTCAGCTATTTCCTAGGTGTTGAGGCAATTAGTACTAAATTTGAGCTTTTCCTTTCCCAATGCAAGTATATTTATGATTTGCTAACTCAGGCCCACATGGAAGGAAGCAAACCATCATCAACTCCTATGACCTCTAGCACAAAACTCTGCATTTGATGGAAATCCTTTACCTGATATCTCTACTTATCGTGCTATTGTGGGTGCACTTCAATAATACCTTACATTTACAAGGCCTGATATATCATTCTCAGTCAAAAAGGCCTGTCAGTTTATGCATAAGCCCACTACAGTCCATTGGATAGTAGTAAAAAGGATCCTAAGGTACCTTAAGTCCATAATCAATTATGGCCTTTGTATCACCCCCTCTACATCCAATCAGCTACATGCTTTCTCTGGCGTTGATTGGGCTGGTTGCCCAGATGGTCGGCGTTCCCAAGGTGACTTCTACATCTTTCTTGGTGATAACTTGATCTCATGGACCTCCAAGAAGCATGCCACTATCTCCAAATCTAGCACAGAATCGGAGTACAGAAGCATGGTTATCGCTACATCTTAATTACTTTGGCTACGGTCACTTCTCTTTGAACTCGATATATCTTCCTCCTTATCACCCATTTTGTAGTGCGACAACATTAATGCAACTACTTAATTGCCCATCCAATTTTTCATGTATGAACAAAGCATATTGAGATTGATTAATCTTAGACATTCGTTATATATCTACCAAGGACCAATTGGCTGACATCTTCACCAAACCATTGCCAATAGTTCAGCTCTCAGATCTGTGATTCAAACTTCGTGTTGTGAGGTTGTTGAGGAAACTGGGCCCAAGCCCACATGACACATACATGCATGACCTAACCACTGAATCTTATCCTCTAATCCTCTTAGCTTCCCACTCTATCTTAATTTTTTCATTATAGTTATCACTATAGTTTATTTTTATCACTGTAACCTAATTACTGCCAAGTGTATAATTGGTTGTAACCAAAACTCTTGTAATCTATAAATACAATGAAAGGCGCAAGCCCAATGCAAGTTTTATCTCCAAAATCATTCCAGATCTTTTAGACACGACCCATGGCATGGGCCTAGGCAGGCTTGGGCCAGGCTTTTGGTTAGGCCATAAGAGGCATATTCTTTTAAAAGAATTGAAAAAATAGTGAAAATTTTTAAATAAATTAACAAGATAGACAAAAATTTGAAAAACAAATCTTAAAATTTTATTTTATATGAATTTTGATGTATATAATTGTTGAAATAATAAAATAAAATTTAAAAAATATGACACAATTGGAATAAAATAGTATAATAAAATTGAAAATAAAAAAAATTATATATTAATATTATATATATTATCTAATTATATTATATATAATAATTACTATATATATGTGTGTAATTATATAATTATTATATATATGGGTTGTGTCGGGCCACGGGCCGGTGGCAGCACAACCCACTTTGTCGTGACGTGCCATGCCAACTCACGTGCTTGAAAATCAAAGCCCGACATGGCCTGGAGGTATGGGCTAGGCCACAGCATGGCCTGCATGCTATAGTAATGGGACGTGCCCGACAAAACCCGATTTACACCTTTATGCAAGAGTCAGCATCAATTGGTGTTGAATAGACCTATTCATTGGTTGCATTTCTTCGGGTTTGGGTCAAGCTTTGCCTATTTATTAACAGAAAATGTCTAGCTCGACTTTGAGCCTGACCCTTATATAAAGTCCAAAGCCCAGTTTAAACATAAAAACTCTTACCTATGGTGTAATTTTTGTTATTTTTATTTTCTATGTTTTTTATAATCTTTGTTATATTTTTCCTATAATTTTTGTTATTTTTTCATTTTCTATGTTTATTTATAACTTTTGTTATATTTTCTTATAATTTTTGTTTTTATGTTTTTTATAATGGGTTGGACAGGTTTGATTGGGTTAAGGCGGTTTTGGGTTGAATCCAACCCATTTAGATTTTCCTAACTGGGTCATTTACGGGTTAGTGGGTCAGATGGATTGGGTTGAAGCATAATCCAAATCAAACCCAACCCAACCCGCCTATTGCCACCCTAATGGGGAGATTCCCAATTCAGGTGGAGAGATGTTTATAGGGGGAGCTAGGAATAAAAACATATTTAGGAAAATGATTTCCTAATTATGAGGTGGAGTGGACTGTAAAAAAGCCTTAAATATAAGCTAAAAATACCATTACCTGGCCCACATATATAACATTTCACTTGATTAACATGTATATGTAAAATATATTTTCATCACATAATCAAACGGTCTTCCAGCTTTTCTGGTCTTTTAGAAGATATATAAAAAATGTTGCAACCAAACAATCTTTGATMTTTTAATATCTATATGAAAAAACTCATCATGTCTTTTAACTATCAAATCTATCTAAAGATCTTCCAAAAGCGATTTGCCAAACAGCACCATATTTTTATGATGATGTGTGCTCTTAATATTCTGCCTACGGTTGGCAATGTGCTCTTATTTTTATGACAATGTGCTCAATCATTTCTTGATTGCAATTCTTGTTGATGACATTTCACCAAGTTTGAATTAATGATTTAGCTTTCGGGCTTTATACCGTCAAAAAAAATGCTTTTGTGGCTTCATTGAACATCTTCGCATCCAATCACATCAGTAGCTATATATTTGTTTACAGAATATACACTTCTGGCGTCTCTGTTTGTAATGACATCAGATCTGCTCCTCACAATGGGCGCTTCACACCGATCTCACAGGTATATCCTATCATGTATTAGGAACATCTTCCGTATTTATTATTTACGGAAAATGTTCTCAATGCATAGTGGATGTGTCTGTGAGGTCATTGTGAGGTGCCCTGTGTGAGAAGCAGATCCCAATTCGTTTGTAATTGGGTATGCAGCATATAATACGCATCTTGTGACCATCTGAAATTAAAACATGAAATGATTGTGAAATATTTCACAATGTTTTCAAACCATTTTTGACCCGGATGGTCGGACCATTCAGGCGACCGGTTTTGTTTTACCTCAAACCCAGTCTTTGGTCAAAAACCGTTGACCCAAACGGTTTGACCATTGAACTGTTCGACCCGGAGAATGATTTGCGGTTTATTAAGTTAGAGCAAGAATGAAAAGAGAATAAGATCTCTCAAATCAGAGACTAAGAGAAATCTCATATCTACTTTCATTGCCACCGCTATAATTCGCCATCGCCGTCACCATCACTATTGCTGCTATAAGTCGTCGTCACCACTGCAACCTGCAAGTGACCTCCTCCTCATCTTCCTTCTTCTTCTTCTTCTTCTTCTTCTTCTTCTTCTTCTTCTTCTAAACTCTCTCCGCCATCGGCAACTTCTCACATCTCTCATTCTCAAACGGTCAAACCTTTTTTTTATATATTTATATGCATCTTACCCTAACATTTCAATCTAATGGATAAGATGACACATCACCAGTTACAATATTTAAACCGTTTGACCTGGACGGTTGAACATTGACCCGAAAACCGGTGGCCATAATGGTTCTGTTTTTAGRTCAATTTTTAAAACCTTGATATTTCAGCTTTATTTCTACTCCTTCTATGCCGAAACTTTTTGTTCAAACAACAGCCTAAAAAATAATAGAAATGAAACATTTGAAATTTAGAATGAAGCCTAAAGTTCAATTGTAATTTTCCTTAACAAATAACAAACTCTACAATGCAGTGCCCACCAAAAGAAACCCCTCCAAACTGCAAACCACGCTAACCACACAATTGAATGACATATTCTTCATGGCCATTGCCCATGATTCAGCAGTCCAAATGGTCAATAGGCGTCCCTCCATTTAAGTAGACATGAATTCGAATTCAAATTCAGTAAAGGATAAATTTTTCATGTGCTGAATTCCATTGAGAACATGTATTCATAACTATAATTAGGGGTGTTAATGGACCAGTTTTGTATTGAATCCTGTCCAAATCAAAATTAATTTAGATGGATTGAGCGGATCAATAAGACATATTAAATTGGACCAGTCCAAACTATTTGTTAAATTGGATTCGACCTGTAATGAATCTATATTGGATTGGGTTGGATTGAGTCAATATCTGATTCATTAATCAAAGATAGAATGTAGGTGTCAATGGATCAAGTTTGAATTAAAATTAATCTAAATTAAAATAAATTTAAATAGATTGAATGGTCCAAGTTCATGGGATTGGATTGGACCTGATCCATCTGTAATGGGCTCATGCTGGACTGGATTGGATTGACCAAATCCACTCCATTGACATCGTACGCCTATTCATATCTACTGATCAACCTACAGCATATATACCAAAATTAAAAAAAAAAAATCGAAAGAAAAAGTTGCTTCATGACTATGAAAAGAAAATAAACTTAAATACCAAAAACTATATTATATTATGCTTTTCACAATAATGCATTTACTTTGCCACTTGTCACATGATTGAGGGATCCAGGACCCACCATTGGAGCTGGATGGGTTCCATATCTACATCTATAGTTTTATATAGAATTCCATTTTCCCAACTTAATTACATGAAATAATAATATAGTAGTGGTAGTACTAGTAAAAAAAATAATAGAAAATTTTAATAAATCTAAATAATTAGAAAGCATATATATTTATATAGATTTGAAGAATTGAGAAATCGGAATTTTCTCCTTCTTGTTCTTTGTTTTTCTTAGAAGATATCAAGAATTTCCAAGATGTAACCATTGCAGAGCGGGCAATTCCCCCGGCTAACCCAGAGCTCCCTTGAGCAGAGCCTGCAGAACGTGTGTCCACATGGTACGAACGCCGCACCTTTATGCCTCACCATGCACACGCAGCATACGTACTCCCCTCCTCCATCATCTTCATCCTCGTCCTCATCATCGTCGTCCATCCCTGACCCCACCAAGGCCCCCAGCGTCCCCTCTTGCCTATCCGTCTCCTCAAGTAACGCCATCAACGACACCCTTACTGGCGGCGCCTCCTCCGCTTCTACCACCGTCGGCGACGGAGCTTCCGCATTCGGAGCCTCTTGCTCGCTTTCTCGTGCTGCCCCTTCTACCTCCCACCCCGCCATTATCGCGTCTCCAAGCCGTGGGGCCATCGTCAAAGACGACGAATTGTGTTCGGCGACGATGTCTGCTCGGCTGTCAGGTGTGTTCTCTGGTTCGGCTAAGGTGGCGATTGTAGTGTCTGTCGGACCTACGGCATTGATGGCGATGGAATGTGGTACCGGGAAGGGGCGTGAAATTTGGACTCTGCTATTGGCAAGGTAGGCATCTAGGTGCGAGGAGGATGAAGCCCGAGGGGTCCCGGAACGGCAGAGACGGTCCTTGAACGACTTCCAGTTCTTTTTGTTGCTGGAATCTTCATATTTAATGATGTCGTGAACCGTCTGGCTGGCCGGCGTCGGTCTCTGCTCCTCGCAGCCGAGTACTGCGCCCAGGGTTAGCCCCGCCAAGGCTTTTCGGCCGTCGTCGTCATCTCTGACTCTGAGAAAATCCCGGAGATTCGATTTCTCAAGAACCGCCAATGGCTCTGAGATCGATTTCTTCCGGCGACTACCTCCACCGGAAATATCCATTCAAACCGGTATGGAATTCCGATAACTTGAATACAGAGACAGAGAACAGCGGAGCCTTGAGAACAAGAGATTCGCAGTAACCGAAGCAGAAAGACCGAAATAACTGACAGGGGAGAAGATTCTTGTTCTTCGAGGAATCTGAAACACAGTGTTTCGAGTAAATCCAACGATTGGAAGTTTCCTTTCACGAAGAGGTAAAAGAAGTTCTAATTATGGGATTCGGGAATTTCAGAGCAGAACCGCAAGGTCTGCCACAAGACGCTCCAAATTCAAAGAACCCAATTCACGAAACTCAGCAAAATTATTTCCCTGCACGAAATATTTTCCCTGGCTGTACCTTCCTGCTTTAAACTTGAAACTCAGATTTGATCTTTCTAAGCCTTAGTGTCTGAAAGCACTTGGCATGAGAGGCAATGAGAAAAAACAAGCAGCTAGAACGAAGATAACAAAGGGAAGGAGAGAAAGAGAGAGAGAGAGTACCAGACGAACGTAAAAGCCAACTCTGGCTTACAACGAACGTAGAGGACCTCTCCTCTCTTGTTCCCTTCTAATGGTTGCCCTTCTCTCGATTTCCAACTTTCTCTCTCTGGTTTATGTCGATACAACGAGATAGAATTTTGCGCTTCATCGGGGTTTATCCTCTCTTTCTGTTGAGCATACCATCGAACGTCGAGCGGGTCTTAAGGAAACCACAGGGCAGGGAGAGAGAGCCAGAGAGGGTGTCCAAATGACCAAACTGCCCACGCTGAGACCGAGACGTTCAACGACATATTTGGTGAGTGGACTGATTTGGTCATCTACCTAAACACGGGCGAGCCTTTTTTTTTTCGTTATTTATTTATTTACTTTTTTGTGGTAAAGATTAGTTAATTAATTGGTTAGTTGAGTTTCAAAGCATGGCTGATTTCCTACACCGCTCCTCCAGGCTCGGTGTTATAGAATCGTTTGCTTATAATCCTGATCGTACAAAAAAGAATCTGATTTTGGAGTTTGGGAAGACCTATCTAGTTAGTTTTGTATTAATTTGGATCTGTCTGAAATAGAGGCGGCTCCATCACATGGAATGGACGGTTTAGATGAAATGTCGCGTCCTGAATCCAGTAAATGTCAAAAATGTCAAAATTATCTTTTTAGTAAAGATATTGTTCATTCTCTTCTACCTTGAGACTTGAATTGATTTGGGTAATTGAGATTTTAGACTAATGAAAGTCATTGTCTACTGCCTTCAAATCTGAAACACATTCTTGTCTAGTTATTTCTTTACTTTCAGTTATTTTTTTTTCCTTTATCATATTTCATGTTTTTCTCTCCTTTTCTTTGAAGATAATCGGTTCAATCTCAATGTACAATGAACAATGTTTTCTTTTGAAGGATAGTTTTGACATTTTCAATAGATAATTGACGGTTAGTTAACAACAGGGACCAACTTGACACTTTTTGAAAGTTTAGGTACTACAATGGCACGTTTAAAAGTTTGGGTACTAATATGACACTACCCAAAAATTTACGGTATGAAAGTGGAGTATTCCCAAAAAAATAAAAAACCTAGGAGCTTACCTACTGGCCATTCATTTAAAAAAGTTGTTAGTTGGTAACAGAATCCCATGGGTGGATTTAAAAAAGCTATTCTTTTCATTTTTGCAATTAGCATAAATTACAAAAACCCTTCTCTTCTTTAATTTGTAACAAAGACCCTGTGAGTGAACTTTTACCGTGCGATAAATTCACCCTAGCCGCTAAGTAGGGATGGATTAGAGCCGAGCCGAGCTGAATAGTACGAGGCTTGAGCTTGGCTCGAGATTGTTCTACAAGGCTCAAGCTCGAGCTCGATTCGAGCCAGAACCTTGAGGTCGAGCTTGGCTCAAGTCAAAAATTCATAGCTCAATTTTGAGAAAAAATGTTTTATAAAAATAAAAACTTATATATAAAAGATATTTTTATTTGATATTTAAAAAATTAAAAATTATAATAATTAATATTTATAATATTTTTATTATATATATATTATTTTCTATAATTATATATATATATATATATATATAAATATATTCCGCGCCTCACGAGCCAAGCTCTATTAGGCTCGAGCTCGGCTCAAAGCTCGGTTGAAACCGAGCAGAACCGAGCTTGAGCAACTTGTAAAAAACTCAGCTCGTTACCACCCCTACCGCTAAGTTAAATGATGGGATGTATTAAATTATCAAAATACCCATTGAATTTTGTTTATTTTGTTTTCATTGCCCTTTTATCTTAAACCCTAACCTAATATAATCTTTGTATTCCTTTTCCTAGTCTTTGTTGCTCAACAATCACCATTTTTCTCATCTCCCTTTGCTTTTGCCTCTACCCCTTGCCTATGCCGATCACCATTCACCCTCAATATTTACCATGCGTTACTCACACGAATAACAAAATAGGACAATCAAAACACCTTCAATACCGGCCTCTTTCCAAGTCTCTTGATATCCCTCACATAAGAGAGACTAAATGCTACTTACCTTTCAGGAAGAAATGGCTATATTAGGCAAAGAATGGCACAACAAATAGAAGCAACCAATTGAATAGGATTGAACAAATCAAGGTAAAACCAAAGAATGGCACAACCAACAAAATCACCAATCATGTGGATTTCCATGACAAAAACTACTAAATGAAGAGGATTGAACAAATCAATTGTTGTTGTGGTCATTGGATTCATGGTGATTAGTCATCTGGTTGATGATGACTGATGAAGGGTGATTTGGCACGACTTAATAAGTAAAGGTCACGTGGATGTGATCTGCTCGAAGGATGACAACTCAACAAAAGGAGCCTATTCAGCAGTTTTTAGAGCTCGGGTGTTCGGTCACCTCGGCATAAAGCCACCTCGACATAAAGTCACCTCGGCATAGAGGCACCTCGGTACCTAATCCAGTTCGGGGCCCAAGAACCAAAGTGACACGTAATCGACTCCAGAAGCTTCCTAGTGGATTCTGAACCTCATGGGATCACGCCACATAACGGCAGGCCTTATCCTCTCTCTGCCCGGATCGGGCAGAGACGAAAGACTTCATTAACTAATACGTTACTCCCTAACTAAAGTGGAAACATATCTCATCTACTCAAGCCGAAGATCCCGAAACCGTTTTGTGAGACACATAGCAACTCAGCTATATAATGGCAACAACCCCTCTAGGGCCCAGGTATGCGCGATTATTTGCTCACTAGTACACTTATCATTCAACTTTCAACTTGCAATACTAACTTAAGCATCGGAGCGACCTCGCCAGGTTAGCCACCTCGAGTTCTCTGAGATCACTATTTTGCAAACTGAACCAGCTCACCACGTAGCCAAGTTCTAGGTCATCCTCCAACAAGGAGCATCCAGATCGTGCTCCATCATTTGGAACCGTTTGTGGGAACTTCGTCTATGCTCGGGTAGAACACAAGACGAGTTATTTTTTATGGAAAGGATCGAAGAGAAGATGTCGAGGTCTAGAGGTTGGTTGTAATTGTTGAAAAGGGCAATGGTACCTACGATGTTACGGATAGAGTTCGGATGTAGCTGGTCTATGGCAATGTCAAAGAACTTAATGACTTCGATTATGAAAGGGTGGAGTGGAAGACGCAGCCCAACCATGAGCTACTCCTCGAAGACCACGATCTCGTCATGACTGTGATCCCAAGGAAAGTTGCCTAAGGGAATACTGTACACAAGGTCGTTGGGAAATTTGTACTGAGCTACCAGAAATAGGAGCCAATCCGCTATCAGGGTAGACGGACCGAAGCTGTCCGGTAGGCGACCTCGGTGTGAGGTGGAGGCCGACCTGCCAAAGGCCTCTCGCTCTCGCCGAGGTGAGTCTGCCTCGGACAGATTAGAATACACATCCTGTGCCGAAGTGCCCACCTCAGCAGGATGAGGCTCTACGGTCTGTGCCGAGATCCCCACCTCGGCCCCAATGGACTCACGCTCCCATCTAAAAGGCTATCTAAACTAAGGCTAGACATACTAACAGAAAGGACAACGAAATCAAAAGCAAAGGAAGGCAAACTCACAAAAGGAAAACAGGAAAGAGCAAGATGACCTCGGACCCAGGAATAGCTAACACCGAGCTAGGATACTTGAACGCAACCTCAAGGACTCTGGATTCGTAGTTTTGTGGCAAAGAAAATGGGCCCTTCGGCCCCTATTTATAACCAGTATATCCGGGAATTAACGGCCAAAATCTGCACAATCCAACGCCTCCTAGGAAAACTGGTTGCATGCTTCCCGAGGTTGAAATCAGTTTAGCGCACGTTTTGACATCCGCGGAGGCTATAATTGGCTTGACGTCCGTGCGTACCTGATACGCAATCTGGGTCACTTCCTGGTTCAAACGGTCGAACAGGTCCGACCATTGGTCTGCCCTCCATATCACCTAGACTTCGTGCCAAATCCACCTAGGCTCGTCATGAACTCCTCACGCCAAGTCAGGACCCCTGGCACGAGGAGTGGGGGGCAATTGATGAAGGGTGATTTGACACGACCTAATAAGTAAAGGTCATGTTGAGCAAGAGCGAGAGAAGAGAGGAGAGGAGAAGAGAGAAGAGATGAGAGTCGAGTGGACTGAAAGCCCTCCTGAATTCAGGGGGCGAGTGAAAGAGTTATTATTTATACTGGCCCAGTCGTACAATATAAGCAAGAGAGAAATTACAACAGTACCCTTGTGGTACTAAAACTGAGTACACAAACAACTGTCAACACTCCCCCTCAAGTTGGAGCATAGATATCAATCATGCCCAACTTGTCACAAAGATCATGATGTCTG